TTTGTTTTTTCGAGACAGGGTTTCTCTGTGTAGCTTTGCGCCTTTCCTGGAACTCACTCTGTAGACCAGGCTGGCCTCGAACTCACAGAGATCCGGCAGAGGGATTAAAGGCGTGTGCCACCACTGCCTGGCCATTTCTTGTTGTTTTTTAACTTTCAAGCTTCTGCTATGTTTCTCCATGTCTCTCAAACATATTTAAAAAGTTGCTTTCTTTTCAAAATATTTTTTTACCAAGATTATTTTATTTGTGTGTGCATGGGGACATGGCTGCAGGTACCCACAGCGGCCAGAGGCTTCCAGCCACAAGCAGTTGTAAGCTGCCTGGTGTGGGTGCTAGGAGCTGAATTCAGGTCTTCTGCAAGAGTTGTATGTGTTCTTAACCACTGAACCATCTCTCAGCCCGTTGTTTTGTTTCGATGGTCTTGCTATGTAAAACAGGTTAGCTTTAGATTGTGAACCTCCTGCCTTAGTCACCCCAGAGATCAGAGACTACATATATGTATAGCAGTATGTGCCCAGTTATGCTTGTTGTTAGTAGTGCTTTCTTGCTCACTGTTTTATTTTTAATTATGTGCATGTATTGGTGATGGCTCAGTGCTAAAAGCATGTGCTGCTTTTGCAAAGGACTCAAGTTAGATTCTCAGTACCCATGTCAGGTGACTTATAATAACTGCCTGTAGCTCCACAGGGTTTTAATGTCGTTGACATACGTGGGCACCTGCATTCACATGTACATACACAGACACACATAATTAAAAATAAATCTTTATTTATTTGTATGTGCAGGTGAGTGCAGGTACCCTTGGAGGCTAGAAGGGGCTATTGGATCCTCTGTAATTGGGATTCTAGGCTGTTGGAGCCACCATGTGGGTACAGGGAACCAAACCTGGTTCCTCTGGAGAAGCAACACAATCTGTTAGCCACTGAGCTGGCTCTCCAGCCCCTGCAGTCGTTCTTACGTCATTTATTGGCACTAATATCCACCCTACTGCTCAGGCCTGAATTCTTTTCTCTTATTTTTCCCCTAGATTTTTTATGTGTTAAGTTTGCATTACTGTAAAATTAAATACATTTTGTTTTTGTGTTTCCTGATTCTGGGGACCAAATTTTGGGCACTCTACCACCAAGCTACATCCAAGCCCCACATACTTCATTTTCAAGGTTATTTCTGCCCAAAGTATTAGTGATTAACAGAGATCTAAAATAGGGTTTTTAGGTTTACATATATATTTGTCAGGAATTTGGGTTTTTTGTTTTGTTTTGTTGCCATAAAAGATTTTATGTATATGATACTTGTATCATCATTATGATCTTTTAAAATGAGTTTTCTAGATTGAGAAAACTGTAGTTGTCATAGGTTCACTTAGAAAATGATGCATTATTGATGTGTAGAGATCTTTGTCTTGGCCAAGAAAATAGCACGACTAATTGCTATATTCACTTTTTATCATGCCACACTCATTTTGCCTGCCCAGTCTGGTTTATAATAAACTATAAACTGCCTCATACTTCTGTGCATCCCTTGTATAGCATATCCTTTATAAGTACTTCAGTAATTGTTGACTTTAAAGCTTGAGTTTGCATGTTACTGTACAGATGAATGCCGGTGTATGCTCTCTATCATCGTTGTGTCCCCCCACCTCCCACCCCCCAGTGTACTGCAGTGCCCAACTTTTATGAGGGTATTGGTGATCTGAACTTAGATCCTCGTGCTCTTGAGGCAGGACACTATACTGACCATGCTAAGGTGTGTGGCCTTGTGAATATGAATTACTCTTTTACATTCATATGGTACCTATAAATAGAATGGCTACAAGTGTTAAGATATTAAAGACAAAATATTCCAGATTAAATTGATCATTAAATTTATTGAGTGATTGGACCTGCTGTTGCAGGCTTCAAATTTCAACTGTTTGGCATACTGATACAGGAAGTTGCAAGTTTAGGACCAGCCTGGGAAACTTAATCATAACTTATCTCAAAATAAAAAATTATAAGGGAAAAAGGGGGAGGGGGCTGTGAGCTCCTAGATTTGGTCCTGCAAACCTTTCTTACTGCATCCTTAAAATTGTAAGCTCTGCACTGACTGCTTTTCCAGAGATCCTGAGTTCAATTCCCAGCAACCACATGGTGGCTCACAACCATCTGTAATGAGATCTGGTGCCCTCTTCTGACCTGTAGTCATACATGGTGCATACAAAATAAATAAATCTTTAAAAAAAAAAATGTAAGCTCTGCTGCTTGCCTTATTCCCTTTTCTGCAAAGTCTGTTAAAATAGATTGTTTTGCAGGGAAAGAACTACAAAGGAAATGGATATGCTTTATAAACAGTTGAATTTTTTTCCTTATATATACTCATTTTAACTTAGAAAAGTTTGAGACTAATGTTTGTCTTTTTAAACCAGTAGGCTGCATCTCACATATATGTGTGCTGCCCCCCTTTTATCTTTAGATATTAGGATCAAGGAAGAAGAGCCTGATCCTGAAGAGTGGCAGCTCAGTGGTGACTCTACATTGAATACCAATGACCTAACACACTTAAGAGTCCAAGTGGTAGATGAAGAAGGGGACCAACAACATCAAGAAGGAAAAAGACTTCGGAGGGTAGCGTGCACCTGTCCCAACTGTAAAGAAGGTGGTGGGAGGTACGCATACATCAGCCATGTGTTGTCGTTTGAAGGAGTGCTCCTGTCACCCTAAGTTTTAGAATGCTGCATGCCATATCACTCGATTATGGTCAGTTATCCATCACATGATCATTTGGGGGTGTGTGACTGTATGAGTGGCAAAAATTAGACAACAAAATATAAACAGATTTTCATATTTAAAGGCCTTTTCAACTAAAATTGCTTAGTCTTTACAAGAACATAACAGATGCAGTTTTTATAGGTCCCAGTTCATTAGCCTGTTTGCAAACCAGTGATGAGTTTGGCCTAAGATAGAGAAAATGTAGCGTGAGAGTGCTGTATATAAAAGTAGGAAGTTCAGAAATAGTTGATAAGTGTAAATACTTCCATTTTCAACAGAAATGACGAAGAAAGGTCTTAATGATAGGGACTTATTTTTTTGAAAGTAGCATGGTTAGTATTTTACCTCATTTTTTTTTTTAAGATAAACAGACAAAAATAGTATTGCAGGATTAAGCTCAAATGGTTGGTAATTACTTTAAATGTAGCTAGAGCAAGCTTATTAAGAGAGATTTAGATTATAAAATAAACCAACAAAATCCATCATGATGTTATTATAAGAAATATTTCAAATGATTGGTACAGTATTATTGAAGATGGGATAACAAAGATCAAATGTTAGCAAAAAAGAAAACTTGGAGAGAAATGTTGGTATCAAGCAAGATGCAGTTCAATTGGAAAATACTAGATGGGCAGGATTATATTTCATAATGACATTTCTGTCCAGATTCAATAGTCACAGTATCTATTTGCCCAGCTTTGAAATATATAAAGCAAAGACAGAATGATAAAGTTGTGCTAACCAAATCTCCAGTCATTATTGTGAAAGGCTGCAATACCTTTCTCCTATGTACTACTTTTAAGTACGCAAAATGTGTGAACAGTATAACTGTGTATGTAAATGCACATGGTTATAAACTTGATTATCTTTCAGCTCTCTGTTTGATACTATTAATTGATTTCTACTTTGATCAGTTCATTTACAACAATAATGACTAGAACAAAGATATCTTTTAGTGAGGCCCCAAAACCACCAAAAGGGGAGGGGACTGATAACTGCTAACATGCAAAAACTTACTATGTTCCTGTGAGTGGAACATACATGGCACACATAAGTGAATTGCTTAAATGCACGCATACGCTCAGTGAGATAGAATTGCCAGCACTCTGAGAGTTTGAGGCCAGTCTGAGGTATAATGTGAGACTGTGTCTCCCAGGAAAACAAACAAACAAAAAACAGAAACCAAAACTGTCCAACTGGGTTTCAAACCCATTTATATATTCCCGAGTCTTAACCCTTACATTGTATTGCCAACTCAGTGGATCTGCTTCTGAACTTGACCTATAGATGCTTATAATAAATGTGGAATTCTGGATAGTCAGTAACCTTTCTGAAATTTACTCTATTTTAGAGGCACTTTCAAGATAAGTTACTTATCAAATCTATATGGGGGTCAGTGTTTAGCTTTCACTTACTCTTTAAAGTTAAAAACCATTTTTTAAAATTAATTTACTAAACTAACATGTCCCAAAAACTAAGAGGAAGTAGAGGAATATTTCAGAACACAAAAAAGCCCTACAAAAATCATATTCTACCTCAAGATCTAACCACTGTAAGTTTTTTGTGCAATACTACATATATTTTAAAGTAGAAGCATCTTATTCTTGTTTACGTCTCTTGTAAGTTTTTGTAGCTGTATTTCCAAGTCTGATCTGTGTCGTCTTTTGATCTATGTATAGCATTGTATGTGGGTATATTATTTAACTTTCTTCTTTGTTTGGGATTTGTCATAATGCTCACACATATGTCCTTGCACATCTGTCTGATTGTCTCATTAGTGTGTGTTGCAGAAATAGAATTGCTGGGTCAATGGAATTGTCTGCTAAAAAGCTGTATCATTTTCTACTTAAACCAGCACTGTCGCAGGATGTCTGTGTTCTCACGTGCTGACCACCTCTTACTTTTTTACTTTTTTTTAAAAGTTTGATAGGCAAGAAATAGTTCATTGATTTTAGTTTGTTTTATTGCTTGATGAGGTTGAACATATTCAGAAGTTAGTTTTATAAAATTCATTTTGTGAATTGTCTGTCTCGTGGAACTGTTAATTTCTGTGAACTTTGGCGTGTACAGTATGTTTTCTCATTTCTCCATTGCTCGTGCTGTTGGTTGTCTGCACTCTGCACTGTGAGTAAAGGAGTTCACTTACAACTAACAAACATCTCCAAAAGAGATGCTAAAAGTTTTACCTATTCCAGAAATTATAGCAAGTAATATTTTCTCAGACATTTTTTTTTATTTCATTCTTTTTAGTAGCTTACTTATTCTAAGCAATACAAATCTAGGTTCTTAGGATAGTAGTATTTTAGACTTGATTTGAACAGAATTCAACAGGTTTCTATGCAGTAGGCTTACTGGTAGAAATAACTAATTATTAGAAGCATTAGCATAAATAGTAAATCTAAGAACATGCTGCAACTTAATCTCTTTTTTAAAGAATAGAATATTGGTCTTTTTTTTTTTCCTTAACCATTTTCTAAATGGGCAAGAAAGCATTTTTAGGAAACTAATTTCATTCATCTTTAGAAAACTGTTTTGTTTACTTTTTGAATAAGCTATAAAAGAAAGTACTTCAGGGGCTGGAGAGATGTCTCAGTAGTTAAGAGCATTGGCTGTTTTTCAGAGGACGGAGGTTTGGTTCCCAGCACTAATACGGCAGCTCACAAACATCCATAACTGGAGTCCCATGGGATCCAGCACCTGGCCTCCGTGAGCACTGCATGTTTGCACAGACGTACATGCTGGAAAAGCACTCACATATAAGATAATAGATTTAAATTAAAAAAATTAAAACGCTTCAATTAGCCAGTCTTTATATAACAGAACCAGTCTTTAGAGAATAGTTGGAGAAACAATTGTAATAATACAAAATGATCTGAAGGCATTATTGTTACATGGGTTTTGCATGAATTAAGCATTATTCCATTAAATTATTTTACAAAGTTTGCTTTGTCAGCATTTCAGCTTGTGTTTCTGCCACCATAAGCAAAAGAGGCTGTGGTTATTTAACTTTCCTTAACTTTGTCCAGAATTTGGATTTATTCTGTGTTGCTGTCTTGTCATTGAATTATTGGGCACAAGTTTAGGCACTCAGGAGCAGAAATTTCAAATTGCTAGTTAACATGGCGTTTATATAGTGGACATCAGTGTATTCAAGTTGGAAACATTCGAAGAGCTCTTTCTCTTCTCTCATAGGATAGACCATAAATACATCTGGTCTATCTAGATCTTACCTTGGGTCTGATTAACTTAAGTACTAACCTGAACCTCAGCAAGCTAAGCATTTACCTTAAATTATAATACAATTGATGCAACTTGATTAGATGCATATCCCATTTAACGACTATTTCTTCATTTGCCTTATAATTCAACAGAAAAAAAAAGATGTTTCTCTACCATTTTTCTCAGTCCTCTGAGAACCTGTTTGTCACTGTTCATTTGTTAGTCCTGTATTTTGTTGGGACTCACAAGCTAAAGTTTTCTAAGTTTGTCAAATGACACTGTTGAGTTCATAAAATCACATTAGTTCACCGAAGCGGTAGCCTTAACAAAGGAATGTGAAGTCATGAGTGGACTGAGTTGGGTTTCCTGTGAAATTGCTATGGTGAACGCAATATTGATTACCAATAAAGACATTGTTCTTTCTCTTAGATCTATTTAAGAATAGAGCAAATTTTAAAAAGCTAAATTAAAAGGAAACAAGACTTGGGCATTGAGAATAAGCCAGGAAAAACCTGTTTTTCTCAACTCAGCTCTTTAAAGAGACTTAGAGATTGGGGGTGGACTGGAGCAGGAACTAGAATGTTTAGATTATGACATCCTTGCCCTTGAGACAACAGCATGATTCCTCCTTGTCTTTACTTATGCTATTCCTCTGCCTGGAATGCCTTCCCTCCTTTCTATCTAAATCCTACCCACCTCCTCCACGAAGCCTTCTCTAACTACTGGAGCCCACATTGATGTCTCCCTGTTCAGAACACCTATGGCATCTAACAGCCAGCACTGCACCGTTTAGCACTGTTTGTCCTATGGCAATTTCACATGCTACTGAGTGTGAGTACATTACAATATAAATGGGGGGACTGGAGAAACGCTAGGATGTTGTCTGCAGGAGGATTTACAGTGTGGAAGGGTTGCAGGCCACTCTGAGGTTGAGATTGAGGGAGGAGGGGAGTCGGGGAGGGTTAAAGGTGCCTTGTTTTTAAATCTTAGAGAAACATTGGAAGTTTATACAGTGTGGTTTTGATAATTATGTCCAAAAAAGTCATGCTTTAAAAAAATATTCAGTGACAGTCCTAATTTTTGTTCTCAGGAAATGTTTTTGTAGTGCTTAATGCTATTGAAATACTGTTTCTGGATTCAAAAAGGTTTCTCCTTGCTTAGACTAAGATGCCTCTGTTCACTCATCTAAGCACGTCTCCCAAACTGGCCTTTGTATCAAATACTTAAGTGTAATATAAGAGTTTGCACTGTGGAGAAAATGGTATTTTGTTATATTGCTTGTAAATAATTTTGGGTGTCTGCATGGTTTATGGGGGGGGAGAATTTTAACAGTAAAGATAATTTAGATTTGTATTTGTTACGATACGTAACAAAGAACGTAGCTTTGGCTAGATTTTTTTTAAAAACTGTGTATCTCAGTTAAGTCAGTGTATGTCAGGGTGTGACCATTTGAGTACTTAAATGTTCTTAGGTCATGTTCATTTAAAACCTACTTAAGCTGTCTACCTGCCTTCTAATTGTACCTGTGATGAGTTTCTGTACAGTATTCTTTGGACAATAAATTATAAAATTATCTGACATCATGACTGAATAAAACTAGTTTCCTGTACTGTTAATTGAATTGGTCCTGTGCATACTATTTGCGAGCGATATTGATGGGATAGTTAATAGCTTTGTTGTACATTCTTTGTGTATGAAGTGTCCTTTTAGTTACATCATTATTGAACATAGTTATATTGGACAACAGTCAGTTCTTGAATAAAATTAATACATTAAATTTGTATGTTTAAAGTACATAAATTTTCACTTAAATAGACTAAATGGTTTTGGCTTCTAATTGTTCTCTTGGTGATAATATCTTCTCTTTGAAACTCAAGAGACTATATGATATAAATGGTTTTAAATGCTGTGATATAAGTGTATATTATTCTGTGTGTTTTGTAGAGGTACCAATCTTGGGAAGAAGAAGCAACACATTTGTCATATACCAGGATGTGGTAAAGTCTATGGGAAAACCTCACATTTGAGAGCGCATCTACGTTGGCATTCTGGGGAGCGCCCTTTTATTTGTAACTGGATGTTCTGTGGCAAAAGATTTACACGAAGTGATGAATTACAAAGGCACAGAAGAACACATACAGGTTATTAATATTTTTATGGTTTCTCCCTCCCTCCTTCCTTCCTTCCCTTCTTCTCTTTGTTAGGGATTGAACCCACATGTATACCCCAAATACATTGAGCTGCATCCCTATTCTATAGTTGCTTTTAACAGACAAAATGAATCGTAGGCTATCTACCATACTAGACATTTTTTCAGCATACCTTACTTGATCAAATCTTTAAAATGGATTAATTAGATCAAAAAAATCCACCTTCAGTAATACTAATTGAAAGTCCAAAGAACAAGCCAGTATAGATTTTCTTGAGAAATAGTTTTTATTTTATGCATACTTGGGCTTTCATTGACTGTTGAATGCCTTAAAGCACATTTTTACTGTTTGTTCTGTTCACATATTTAAAATTAGTTGCTGTTTCTTATTATCCTAGCAAATAAACAGAATCTTTTTCTTCTGATAAATTCTGATACTTTATCTTTTCTGTTTGAGTATCTGAGGTGAGGGAAAGGCATTTCATTGAGGTATTGTCAGCTTTTTTCTTTTTTACATAATGTGGTATGGTGATTGTATGAGACGGGTATAGGACAGACTCAAACAGAAGTCTAACATAATATAATGTAATTTTCTTCTGCTAAAATTAAATGATCAAAGTGTTCACCATTCTGTGTGCAGTGTTGAAGAATTGAAAGTTGACATTATAAGGAAGTGTCTAGAAGGAAGAAGCATGGTCAGATGAACCACATGAATTTTGGAGTCTGATACATTAGGACTACTTGCAGTTTTGTTTTGTTTTCCTTTTTTTTTTTTTTTTTTTTTTTGTGGGGGTCGGGGTGTTTGAGACAGGGTTTCTCCGTGTAGTTTTGGTGCCTGTCTTGGATCTCGCTCTGTAGACCAGGCTGGCCTTGAACTCAACAACGATCCGCCTGGCTCTGCCTCCCGAGTGCTGGTATTAAAGGCGTGCGCCACCACCGCCCGGCTCCTTGCATTTTTCTGTTAGGTTAAGCAAATAAAGTTGTCTCTGCTTCACCACTCTTAATTTGGCTTTGAATGTCATAGAAGATGACATTGGAGTATGAGGCAGTGTGTACCCATTGATGTTCTGCTTGCTTTAGTTCTGTTTCTTGTTATTATAAAGATAGATGAGATGAACCTCTGTGACTAGCAGAGTGTATGAGTAGCAGGACTTTCTATTACAATTTGTGTTGAATGTGCTCAAGAGAGGAAGTTTTAGACATAATAACATTAAGCGATTTGAGTGTAGACCCTAAAATGGCCCCCAATAGAATTTTTCCCAGTGGAATTTCTTCAGATCATGAAAACAAATAATGTAGGTGGAGAAAAAAACATCTGATCAAATATGTGTGGGTTATTTGATCACTCCAGTGGACATAGATTAAAGAGCAAACTCGAACTCTTAAGATAGTGTCTTTAGCTTTGACATCGAGTTGGGCATTCTTGGCACACACATTTAATTCCAGCATTCGGGAGACAGAGGTAGGCAGGTCTCTGAGTTCAAGACCAACTTGATCTACATAGTGAGTTCCAGGACACAAGGAGACCCTGTCTTGGGGGGGGGGGAGGTGCCGCCAAATATTTGGGTAGAATTATGTCCATAAGGGAGAGACTACTACAGGTCTATTAGACCTTCTGTTTCAGGAGAGACCATCAATTAATCTGTAAAAGTGGAATTTTAAAACTAAGCAGTTTAATTTTTCTTTACAGGTGAGAAGAAGTTTGTTTGTCCAGAATGTTCAAAACGTTTTATGAGAAGTGACCACCTTGCCAAACATATTAAAACACATCAAAATAAAAAAGTTATTCACTCTAGCAGTACAGTGCTGGCATCTGTGGAAGCTGGGAGAGATGATACCTTGATTACTGCAGGAGGAACAACACTTATCCTTGCAAATATTCAACAGGGGTCTGTTTCAGGGATAGGAACTGTCAATACCTCTGCCACCAGCAATCAAGACATCCTTACCAACACTGAAATACCTTTACAGCTTGTCACCGTTTCTGGAAATGAGACAATGGAGTAAATATTACACAAATACTTATTCATTGTGGTTATTTTTATACAGTAGTGAGAAGAATATTGTTCCTAAGTTCTTAGATATCTTTTTATTGATGTGCAAAAATTTTTGGATTGACAGTAACTTGGTTATACATGACACTGAAATGCCTTACTTTGTATGATATTCCATAGTATATTAAAAATGGTAAAATTGCATGGGTTTTGTAGGTACTTTTGGAATCTAGAAGAAATGAAATTTTACCAAGTTATATAAAGAGAAAATTGAATTTAACAATGCGAATGGTAGTCTAACCAAATGCATCAATCCTGTGTGGTTTAGTGTAAAAATGAGAAACTGTTGGTATTTATCTATTGTAAGATAAAAAAAAAAGTTGGTGGGTGAAAGAAATCATGTTATGATAAATTTTTGTAATTTTCTTGATGACTGGAATTTTTATTATGCATAACTGACAAATCAAGTTTCCAAGCAAATGTTACATAGTGTAGGCTTTACTTAGCTTATCAATTTGTCATTTTGAAGCTAATTATTTTAATTAGGTTAACTGTACAATATTTTAAGCATTACTCTTGTAAGATTTTGAAAACTACATTTTAACATGGACCTTTAGGGATAGTCACCTTTTAAATCCTGTTGAAAAGCCATGTTTAAGATTTAATTTGCCAAAATAATGTCTTGTTAATATTCTTTCAATAATGAAGTTGGGCAATATAACCGATGTTTTTACAAAGTTTAAAATGTGTAGGTTGAGGCATTTGGGTGGTAAGAAAATGTTCTAGTGAATTACCCCTTTTCCTGAAGTTTGGAGGACCAAAAAAACAATAATAATAATAATAAGGTATATTGCGTCTTAGCAGTGATTTTTTTTTTCTTCTTTTTTCTTTTCTTTTCTTTTTCTTTTTTTTTTAATCCAATCTTGTTTCCAAAAAAACATGTCTGCCAGGGCCTTAAAAGCCATTGTGTAAATTACCAATAAAGTATAACATATGCAAACATAACAAAATCACTTCCACAGTGACGATACTCCAACCATATGGATATTAGTCATAGAAACTAGAAGCTTTATGATATTTTTTAAATTTTTTTTGTCTAGATAGTCAGTCTGCACTTAAATATCAACCATTTTCCTTTTTTTGCTTCTTAAAATTTATATGTATCCAATACATTTAATTGAGAAATGTATGTTTTTTATTATGCTGTATTTTCTTTTTATTTTTTAATTATTGTTTATATTTTCAATTAAAAATGTACAAAATCAAATGACATTGCTGGTCTTGTAAGAGCTCTACAGTTTTCCTAAATGGACCTATTAACTGCAGCAGTTGACCTCTTGCCAGAAGTTGGGCTCTGTTCATTTGTTACCTTTGAGACCACCTCAGATTGAAAGGCTACCTTATTGTACGTTTAAAGTGTATTATAACAGTGTGGTAGTTAATAAAACACTATTTTTGTTTCTTTTGAGTTTGTTGTAGTCCAGTGGATTTAAAATACTGCAGTGGTATGGACAAGAAAGTCTTATTTTTCTTTAGCCTTTTAAGATTCTTGATTTCAGAGGCTGGGATTGTAAACAAATATATTTACTTAAAAAGAGGTGTATAGAGGTGCTGGCAATTTAATTTTTCACTTAAAAATGAATTTATTAAATATAACTTGAAAAAAGTAACTTCTTAGCTCACATTGATTTGTATCAGTTTTGTCAACACTATTTTGCAAACTACTTTTTATTTTCCTTTTCAAAGCACTGCAAACTATTTTGATTCATGAAAGTTCTGAATTTACATACGTACACCTGAAAATGATAACATAGACAAGCTGAGGTAATCATGGCAGGCAGGAGCTCTTCAAAAGGTTTTGAATATGTGTGGGCCTCAGATGGCTCTAGAGGAAGGGTGGTAAGGATGGGAGGGGACAGTGGAACATTTCTTCCGTGTGTACAATGGTAGTGGTTTCCATCACCTGTTACCCAGGCCCAAATTTCCAGTATGTAGGTCACAACTCTAGGCACACACTGTAATCGTGGGCAGTTTTTCTGAGTGAGGTTCAAACTTAGGATGTGAAAAGGAACTGCTACTTGGAATTAAATGCAAATTAATACTTTGAGGTGGAGGGTCAGTGTTTTTGGTTTTTTGAGACGGGGTTTCTCTGTGTAACAGCCCTGGCTATCCTGGAACTCACTCTAGAACTCTGTAGACCAGGCTGGCCTCAAAATTCAGATCGCCTGCCCCTGCCTCCTGAGTGCTGGGATTAAAGGTGTGTGCCACCACCACCTGGCAAGGATCAGAATTTAAAATAATTTTTAGAATAATTTTCTATTAAAATGGTAAGTTGAGGTTGCTTGCTTGAACCAAACATCCACTGAATCAGAAGGTAGGTTGTGTGTGTGTGGCTGTGTTAAGGGTATGGGGAGGTTAACCTTAGAGCTCCCCAATTAATTTAGGCTGACTGGCCAGCTAACCTCATGTGGCGGGGGCGTTCCTACCTCCATGGTGTGAGGACTACCACACCTGGTTTTTTATGTGGTAAGCATTTTTCTGACTGAATTATTCCTGGCACCAAGATGTTTTTAAGTAATTGAAAATTCACAGTGAGTTTCAAAACATGTTGATCCAAGAATTCCCAAGCATATTGTAGAAACTAAATGCGCTGAAAAAAGGTGCCAATGACCTTGAAAAGGGTTTGTGGACTTCAGAGTAATGACTGTTAAGTGTTTCTGTTTTTATATTTTTGAACGCTGGATGTTTTAGAAACAGGATTTGAGGAAATTGCTCTGAACCCAAGTTCTGTAGTTATAAAATTTGTACTAGTGGACAGGAATATTTCTCACTGTACACCCTCTAATAGTTTTGTCCAGTTTTTTGGTTTTTCGAGACAGTTTTCCTGTGTAGCTTTGGAGACTGGCCTTGAACTCACTTTGACCTCTGCCTGTCAAGTGCTGGGGTTAAAGGCATGCACCTCCACTACCCCGCTTGTCCGGTTTTTTTTAATAGCTAGAGTTAGTGCACATTGTATTTATATACAAGTAATTACTATTGTACATCCACTGAGCTGGATGTCCACTGTGCCTCTAAGAAGACACCACTCAATGCTTTAAAAGGAGGTATACATACTACAAAGAACTTTGGCCTTCAAAATAGTGAAAGTGTTTTAATATATTTTAAATCCTTGGGACCAGTAAGATAACTCAGTGCATAAAGGTGCTTGCCACACAAGCCGGGCAACCCGAGTCCAGTCTAGGCCTGGAAGCCATGTAGAGGTTGAGGGAGACCCACAGCTGTCTCTGACTTCACATACATGCTGTCACAATTGTGTGCATGCAGTCCTAAGTAAAAAGAGAAAAAAAAAATGTTCTTAACCAGTGTTGTCCATCAGGAAATCCTAGAAAGCATTTTTAGTTTTTGAGACAGCCTCGTTTAGCCCAGACTGCCCTTGAAGTTGTAGCTGGAGATGAGCTGCTCTTCTTGGCTCTGCCTCCCCTGTACTGGGATCACACATCAGTTCCACCATACTTGGTTTGTGCTACAGAACTTTAGGAAAATCTGACTGCAGACACGTGGCTACAGGAGTGGTCCGAGGACAGTGCTGTGGAGCTGGTTCTTGTCCGTTTTTACGTGGGCACCAGAGTTCCAGCTCAGCTTGTTAGACTTGTGGAAAGCACGCACTCTCCCCTCTGGGCCACTTGATAGGTTTTAATACTCTTTGTTTTATATGTCTGGGTGTTTTGTCTGCATGTATGTCTGTACCACCTGTATGCCTGGTGCTCAAAGAGGCCAGGAGAGGTTGTTGGATTCCCTGGGATGCCAACATGTGGGTGCTGGGGATCAAACCTGGGTCCTCTGGAAAAACAGCCAGTGCTCTTAACTGCTGAGCTATCTCTAGCCACCTGGAAACTATTTTTAAAAGTCCATTTGACTAGCTTCATCCTTGACTAGATATGGGTTTTTGTTTTCTTTTTCTTTTTTCTTTTTTGGCGGCTCCTTAGATTGTTATATAACCTTTGCTATACTCATTTAAAATTCAGGAAAAACATACAGAGTTTTTATATAGGAAGAAAATAGTGGCAGCTTTTCCTTGTATTTTACATATTTAAAACTTGCCTGGGAAGATTGTATGCTTTTTGGTTTTTTGAGACAGGGTTTCTCTGTGTAGTTTGGGTGCCTGTCCTGGATCTTGCTCTGTGGACCAGGCTGGCCTCGAACTCACAGATCCTCCTGGCTCTGCCTCCTGAGTGCTGAGATTAAAGGCGTATGCACCACCGCCACCTGGCGATTGTATACTTTTATAAGCTCCCCTCCCCCCAAAAAAGGCCAAATTAAAAAAAGCAAAAATATTATAAAAACATTATAATAAATGGTATTTTGTGGGGGAAATAAGAGCAATAGGAATTCCCTTCAGATTCTAATTGTAGTTTAGATCCTAGAACTGCCTCAAATTTCTTAAGTTTTTGTTTCATTATATTTAATATTTGGATTAGAATTTTGAAATTTTGGTTTTAAAAGCTGATATTATATACTACTACAGTTTAAATTTTATGAGGTTGGTAAATATTTTCAGTGTAAATAGACTAGTGTGCTTAAAACTGCCATGAATGAATAGTAAGTCTGGTGTGACAGCGGGAAAACAGTTGATACCCTGGGAATAGAATTTGATGTTAGTGGCTCACCTTTATTGTTAAGGTTAAAATGATTGATTGGCCTCTTGCCTTGCCCTTATTTACATGTAAAATCATTTATATATGTGTTTGTTGCATTTATAAAGTGCTATGGGGAAAATCTATTATTCCTGCTCCCCAGAAAAAAATAAATTGATCCAAGTCCAGAATTTTCGAACACGTAATCTTAAGCTGAGGACTAAAACTTGGGAAATAAGCCACTCTAGGAGCTGGATGGGGGGCGGGGCGGGACTCTGAGACACTGGAATAAGCCAGTCTGGGAGCTGGGGGGGCTGGGTGGGCAGAAGAGGACAAGGAGACTGAGACACTGTAGGTATCAAGATAATAACGAACATCATGAGGAAATAAAGGATGCTGCTCCTAGGCTGTGGAGCTGCCTACTCACTGAGTAGTTGAGTGGGTCAAAGTGGGAAGAGTGGAGACCAGGACAGAATAGTCTCAACTATTAGACTGTTACCGGTTAGGAGCTGATTGGTGAATTCTAATATTGGGGAAACCCTTGTACTGAGCAAATAGTATAAAAATTAAAGTAAAATTACGCTATCACCCATTAAGTAATTTCCTCTTAACATTGATGAGAGTTTTAAGGACATTTTTGAGTCTATAAAGCAAATTTCCACAGTATAGGTATTTTTAAGCTATTTCAGGCTGATCGTGACATGCCTTTTATAAAACCAGTACCCAGGAGGCAGAGGCAAACAGATCTGAGTTCAAGGATGGTCAGGACTGAACAGTGAGACCCTGTCTAAAACAAGATTTTCCAATTTTGTGGCACTTAATTTATCAAATTTAGAACCTTGAGTGTACTGCATAAGTATTTTACCACTGAGCTACATCTCCAGCCCTTAACATTAAAGCTGGGTCATCCGCTTTCAAATAACATGTTTTAACTATAACTATATATTTTATTTAGCAATTCTAGTGGGTGTTTTTTTGTTTGTTTGTTTGTTTGTTTCTTAAAGTTGTGCTAGGGAAAGAGATGTCAAGAGCACTGGCTGTTCTTGCAGAGGACCCTGGATTGATTCCCAGCACCCACATAGATACACACAAGAATCTGTAATTGCTGTTTCAGGGATTTCGGCACCCTCTTAAGACCTTCTTGCTGCATTGCCAATGTGGTGCACCTATGTAAACGCGGGCAAAACACTACACACACACACACACACACACACACACACACACACACACACACACACACCTTTTTTTTTTTTTTAAAAAAGATGGGTGCTGAAGGAAAAGTATGTCAACTTCCACTTTCTGTCTCCTTTCTAAGTCCATGTTACTCTATGGACGTTTTACCTTCTTGAAACATTCTCATCCATAGAAAGAGTTAACAGTCAGGACTGTTACATCATTAAAAAGGAAGCATGTAACATACAGGCCTAAAGCAGAGATTCATAGGTGAGTATCTACTTAGTTCCTCCATGTGTAACCTTATCTGATCCACTGGGATGGGTGGACTTGGCTCAGGGAATAGGGAATTACGACTTAGTCCTAGAAAGTAGCTCCAGTATCACAGTCCCCTTCATAGAATTTTTAGGGCTTATGACATCCCGTCAGCTGACATTTGAGAGCGTATAATGATTTCTAAATGTTCTGGGGAGAGGCTAATGACATGGCTCCAATTACCTTTCTGTTTTAACAAAATTCTGTGTGGTGTCTCTTGTTTCAATGTGCTTGCTTCATTATAACAGTGCAGTCCCTTTATTTAAAAAGTTAGGAAAAGGCTAGTTTTTGTTTCCCTCTCCTTGAACATGATCCTTTAAGAGTTATAGCATAACCCTGCTAAGTG